TTTTTACTTGCTCCAGGCTTTACTCGATCTTATCAAATGAATTCAATATGACAGGAAACAGACAACACTCACGAGGAATATTGAGCATTAGCTCGCCATACGCCTGCTATGCAGACTAATTCTCAATTTACATTAACTGTTAAAATCGACTCTTTAAATTCTAATAATTTTTTAACAAAATGGAGGTACCGGTAGATTAGGTCACCTTCTGAATCTGCCTCTGCTAAATCTTATTCAACGACCATTTATTCCAATTATTAACTACAATTTATTTACTGTTATTTTTAATAGAAGCTAACATTATTTACAGTACTTAGTAACTTTGATGAATAAATGCTATTTTCATGCATTTTGTTTTTTGATTAAGGTGACTCTGAACCCTATTGAAACAGATATTACTCAGGGAATGTCATGACAAGTCCCGCTCAGGGGCTGAGTGATATCTTTTTCCAGGCAATTTATAGAGCCACTTTAATTATTACGCAAAAAATAAATAAAAATAAGCATTCATTCATCAAAGTCACTACGTCATATAATAACCGAACATTTCTCTGACATAGATACTTTTTTTTATAAACATATTAGAAGTTACCATATGTAATATCTTCATGGCAAGGCTAAAAATGTATTCATTATAAAATGTAGTTTGAATTCAACAAACAAAATCCCACATACTGAAACCATTCCAATATTATCTGGATATTTTCCTAATAAAATGGACATTGCGGAGGTTTCAGCTGCAGCCCCTCCAATGGCTGATGTTGCTCTTAGTATGAAGGAAACAGTTATGAACGCATCCCGATCTACAATCAGGTCACAAAATCTGAAAGATACAAAAGCCACAGATATTCTAGGTCTTGCTCGTAAAGGGGCAAGACCAAGAATTCGAGCAGTCCTCCCTTTTTGGTGAGGTCCGTCGCACGAGTCCAAAAAAAATCAGGGGAAAAAAAAAAAACAATGATGCAAGGAGCCCTTGGAGTGAGGCACTTGAAAAAAGGGAACACAGACTAAAAATCCAAGAGTTTGATTTCCGCATTGCGCTCTCAACGCAAAAATATGATCGGCCATCGGACGGCCATCGGACGGTAACTGTCAACAAGTGGTTATATGTATCAACGCTTGTCAACGCTCCAGATTAATCATGGCCGATGACATGCAGGTTTCAGACAATTCTTTCGCTGAAACCAGAGCACACTAAGGCGCCTAAAGCTCTTCTCGCTGGAAAGGACGTCCCGGCAATTTTGCCAACCGGCTTTGGAGAGAGCCTTATCTACCATGTGTTTTTTCAATTTTTAGAAAAATTCCGACTGCCGGTCATGGTTCTCAAATAACTAAATGACCGGCAGTCGGCAGCCCACCGCACGCAGTGTCAACATTCTGAGCCCAGTGTAAATCGAGCGTCAGACATGAGATTTTTAAATCACTTCGCGTTCGTTGGAGGCAATTTGTAATTGCAAGCACACACACAGCAAAATTCGTTCGCAATGTGGGAACGAATTTTGTAAATTAGAGCTCTTGACATCACCCGAGCGTTGCGACGATATGAAAATTGATTGGTAATTAAGATAAGGAATGCCATTGAGGTTAAAAGTCATTCACCTGTGCAAGGTCAAACTCTTTGGCTTACGCTGTAGTCCCTTCCTCTACGCCTCACTCCCAGAGTTCCCCGCGGCGCGCTAACATAAAATCTTTCTTTCGTTGAATTGTTTTTACTCGCGCGACGGACTTCGCCAAAAAGGAGAGACTGCTCTTAGTGTTAGCAAGATCTTTGGCTTGAACTTCTTATTTTTTCACTTTAGGTCTTTTCAAACTTAATTTTCAACACCATTTCAAATTGACTATCTTTCACATTAATCAGCATATTTTCTTAGCTTGCTTAAGTCTTGTCTAGCTTATCAAGCCACTGGAAAAGTGCTACATCTAAGAGTTAGTCTTTTCACTTCCAATATTGACTAAAGAGAAATTTTTCCTCACAATATTATAATTTCAAGCAGAAGAGTAATGAGAAGAAAGAAGGATGACGACTTAAGGATTCATTGTATAATTAAATACAGAAATCATACTTATTAAAATCAGCGTTTTGGCTCACCCAAATAAAACCAATGATCCCCCACAAAGAACAAGCCCTGAG